GCAACGTCAGGGCCCTCCAGGTGGGGGGCACACCTGCATGAGTCTAGGTAGGACCTCCATCTCGTGGAGCTGGTCTCCCTGAGATACAAGCACCTGGGAGACTAACAGGGTGTGTGGGGCGGGGGGGAGGGGCGCGGGGAGAGGCGGGTTACAGAAGGAGGACCGTACTTCAGAAAAGGGAGAAGATTCTCTTTGGGAAAATAAAGCGCCCCCCCTTACACACACCCAATTCTCAGTACTTGGAGCCACCCCAGGAACCAGGGGTCTTTCTCCCTGAGAATCCCTGGAAATCAGATTACTCCGTTTGTGGGCATGTGCCTGCACCCTCCTGGTGGACAGGGGCCTCTCACCCCACCCCACCCCACTCAAGCAGGAGAGTGAGACTCAGACTGGGTTCAGCTGCTCCTCTGCCCCTCACTCTCCCTGGGGTCAGCCGGGAGACCAGTCTAGCCTTTAGAGTTAATAACCCATGACTTCCTGCAGAGGTGGACTGATCTCTAGTGATCAGTTTCTGGAGAAGCATTTAGATGCCTGGACTCTGTGTGTGTGTGTGTGTGTGTGTGTGTGGGCCTCTCACCCCACCCCACCCCACTCAAGCAGGAGAGTGAGAATCAGACTGGGTTCAGCTACTCCTCTGCCCCTCACTCTCTCTGGGGTCAGCCGGGAGACCAGTCTCCCCTTTAGAGTTAATAACCTATGACTTCTTGCAGAGGTGGACTGATCTCTAGTGATCAGTTTATGGAAAAGCATTTAGATGCCTGGACTCGTGTGTCTGTGTGTGTGTGTACATGCATGTACGTGGCTCTGTGGATGAGGACATGTAGCTGTGAGTGTATCTGAGAGTGTGCATCTGGAGATATCCGTGTATCTTTATGTATTGTATGTACATGTATCTGTGTCTTTATCTGTTTTTGTGAGTATGATGTGCATCTGTGGTGCAGGAATCTGTGAATGAGTCAGGCCGTGACTCTGTGTGTGTATGTTTATCCGCGTGTACGTGACCTGCGATGTGGTGCATGAGCCTGTGTGTGAATGAGTGAGGCTGTGACTGTATATGTGTCACCCTCCCTGTGTCACCCACATCCTTCAGTCTGGGAGCCATTGCTGCCGAGCTGGCATCGCAGGTGTATCTTGAGTCCATAGCTTGAGACCATGAATGGCCATAGACCTTGGGAACTGGCCTGATACCCGTGCCTCTGTGTATATTGGGGGTATTAATGCTGAGCACCAAGAAGCCCCTCCTCGCTGATAGTAGACAGCCTCCAAAGGCAGCCTTCGGGCAGGGACCTGTTGCTGCCCCTCCTCCTCAGGTAGCCTGGGTATATGTCTCTGTGTGTGGAACATCCCGTGTTGTTTCAAGTGTCAGCTCCAGGGCTGCTTGTACATTCTGGCCTTTCTGAACAAGAAGACTTAGAGGATACGTGGAATCCATCAGAAAGGCCCAGAGCTTTTTATCTCAGGCCTTATAGAGACCCCTGTAGGGACCTGAACAAAGCTCTGTCTAGACCCTCTTTCCAATAAAACCTCCAGATCCATGTATTCGGATGACTGTTTCGGGGGAGGGTGTGTATAGACCTCTGCCTAAAAGCCTTCAGGTTAAAAACCTGCAATCTCTCTGTTTGTTGTTTAACCAAACCTAGAGGTAAGATGTACTCCCCAGATGTTTTTACCGGGAATGTCTGTGTTTTTGAGAAAATGGTCATCTGGTGCCATTGGTAGGGAGGCTGCAGGCAGAAGAGCATGTCGCTAAGGCATCTGGGGAGGGCAGTGCTTCCCGCCTCTGGACAGGGCTCCAGCTGGTGCCACAGTCCTAGCTCTGGTGCCAGCCCCGTCCTTGCCTCTCTCAGGACTTAGTTTCCCCATCTGGAGGAGTCATGAGTCCAGTGTTCTTGGAGGCCCCATCCACGTTAGTCTAGTTTGGGTTACTGGCCAGGCCATGGGGGGCACTTTGCCCCTGGCAGCCAGCTGTCTGTGCCTGCATTCTCTCTCCTGGGAGCACCTGAGTCTGGTGCTCAGAATGAGCTTTCCGCCTGACTCGATGCCATCTCTTGATCAGAGTGACCTTTTGGCCTCCTGCTTGGTGCTTGTGGGCAGCAGGGTCAGAACCCTGCAAATTTGGACAAAGGGCCTCAAGCACCCCTTGACCCCAGATCGGCACTCAGAGGGCAGGACTTAACAGAGTTGGTGGCTGTTTCTAAATTCTGCATTTCTTGGGGCACATCATTTTAGTCATAAAGCTTCCATTTACTGGAGGCTGCTCTGCGCCCTGCCCTGTGTGCACAAAAACTTTATGAGGTGACATTTACAGACAAGGAAACTGAGTCTTATAGAGGAAGAGTGAGTTGCTCAAGAGCACACAGCCAAGAAGGGACCAAGCTGGAGACTTACCCCCCAGGTCTGCCTGACATCAGAGCCGTGTTTTTGCCCCCTACATCCCAAACATACCCATCTACGTCTACACAGTGCCACAATCTTGTCATGCATGGGTGCTCTAATTTCTATTGTACAGATGAGAAAACTGGCCGAGAGAGAGTAAGTGATGTTTCAAGGGCACAGACGAGTGAGGGGGAACAGGTTCAAGTGTTTTGTCTGTGAGACCCCTATTCAGCATGGATGTCCCTAAGGGCATGGCAACAAGCCAATTCCCCCCACACACACACACACCCACCCCACCCCCTAGAGCAGACCTCGCTCCTTTCTTTCCTCTGTCTACCTCTTTGAGGAGCATCTCCCCCA